TTCTGTATGTCGTTTGTTTTCTGATTGGGCCAAGTGGGTCTTGGGCTTTTATTATATCCTAGGCCCAGAATGTGGATTCAGATGCGAGTTTTATTTAGGGGCTGGGAAAACGTTTATCGATGTCACTTACCTTATTGATTAAGCATAAGAAGGACCGATAATCTTCCTCACTAAGAGGCATGACAAGGATCGAGATTAGTCTGATTGATTTGAGTTTGAGCTTCAAAGCTCAAAAGTGTCTGGATATCCAAGGTTCAAAACCTAGGAAGAATAAAAATCCGTTTGTGGTCACAAAGGTTCAAACACGGTGACTCTAGACGACCCGTAAAGCAGGTGGTCGCCTTGGGATTAGTCGGCTCGTATAGCGGGTTAGATATCCAAGTTGATAAAAAAAATTAAAATACTTTCGTGGTGGAATCTTTAAAAATCTTACTTGTTATATTTTTTTTTGTTACATCATTATCATCGTAACAAAATAAAAGTCTCAATAAAACTTCATAATGTAGATTTTTACAAAAACCCCATTTTCCATTTTTTTTAATTTATAAAATGTAAAATTATTTGTAAATTAATATATAAATTTAATATATATCATAAGATTATAAAAAAAAACAAATATAATTTATTAACTTTCACTTTTCTATATTAATTTTAATTTGTTAATTTATATATTTTGTTAACATATTTGGCAAACAATTAAAACATAAACATAATTTCATACTACAATTAAAAAAAGTGCAAAATTACAAATATATTAATTTTTATAAAAAGTAACACCGAATAATAAATAGTGACATAGATCAATCGTAATCTCGACTCGACCAAATATGTTCCAACAAGTTGGAGCAGAGTTGATGATAAACTTCATTTAAGCGCATCTCAGAATTTCGTTGAAGATATTCTTGGAATTCATGGGTAAAACCTTAAAATATTTGTGTTGAATTATCTACGTCTTCAACAAAATGAAATAATAATATAATGAGATAATTAAAAATTAACTCTTACAAAAACTTATATAAGAATTTACAAGAACCGAAAAATAAAAACAAAACTAAAAATTTTAATTTTATAGTAATTAATTTATATTTTATCAATTTCAACTTATATGTTTTATGATTTATTATAAAAAATGATTAAAAAATAATAACAATAAAAGAATGTTTACAAGAACGTGGGTTCTTGTTCAAACACTTAATTCTAATAAAAACTTGTAACTGTACAAGAACCTTTGTCCTACAGTTAAATGCTTTAATATTATTATATTGTAATTAAAAGAAATTAAATTAACATAAAGTTTGGAATTGATGTGAAGATGATAAAATAATATTGGGGAGATCGCATTGGTAAAACCAGATATCTTCGTAGAATTGATTTATGGAGCAAGATAAGTAACATGATGATTAGATACTAACCCCTAGACTACAAACTTAACTCGATTAAAGGGTTTTATCGAATAAGCGTATTCAGGGTAATAGTCATCATTCTTACTTATCTTACCAGATAAAATTCTAGGCCATCAAAATTGCATAGTAGGGTTAATGGTAAACTGTCTCTTATCCAGTAAGTGTTAACCAGGTAAGATCATTGGTCTTAGCATACTCACCAGAAAAATGATTGAACTGATAAGTGTTGACCAATTAACGTTTGGTAGTCATGTAGCAACAAGGACCATAACTCTACTTTCATACCCGAGCGGCACCTGTATACCCCCACTCAACTAAATATCGCAAATAAAAGTTTTTGGTGTATGGCAGATGTACCAGCTAAACTTCGAGAGCTGCTCCGAGATATTAGAAAATACAAGGATCATCAACCAAAAAACCGAAAAATCTCTCGAAATCAATCAAAAAATTTCTTTGAAATCAACAAAAAAAATCACTTGAAACTGTAGAATTCAGCTAAAGCCATATCGGATGACTTTACGAACCTTTGATCCACCGTAAAAATATACCACGCTCAACAAAAATCTTAAATCCACCGCTGTTTAATTACAAGGATACTTTTTTCAATACGTGTTATTGGACTAAAAACCCTTCCTCGATTAATTAATCATAAGTGGGTGTACCAAAAAAATTAACGTACACTCAACAACGAATCTGATATTTAACAATGTAACTGAAATTTACTGAATTGATTCCAACTCCTATTAGAAACGATTAGAATACCCCCACAATTACATAATTTTTTTTATTAACCTGGATATCCAACCCGCTATGCAAGCCGACTAATCACAAGACGACCACCTACTTTGCAGATAGCCTGGAATCGCCGCATTTGAACCTCTGTGGCCACAAGGGGATTGTTATTCCTTCCTTTGAACCTGAGACCTCCAGGTACTTTTGACATTTGAAGCTAAACTCAAACCAATCATGCACCACCCTTGTGGTTCAATAACAAAAACTTTCGGTACAACAACATTAAGTTTTATAACATCTAAAATATATATAAGCGTACTAACAAAATGTTTTATAAAATATAAAAATATCTTATTCAAAAGTGTTACAATAAGTTCATATGACATAAAATGTACTTAGTCGAGGTTCTGAAACCAAAACTACGGATTCAATTTATAGACAGAACTCACTCCTACTCCACGTATATGAGACACGATTTCAACCAAAAAAAGTTCAACAAACCATACATATATAACTCTTAATATATAACCCGATGAGTATATATGTTAAACAATACGTATCACCTATAAGCATATCATAACATATTAACGATCTGTCTTTGCCGAATATCCTTGATTCTTTGACGTTCTTCGATATAGTTGCACTAAAAATGTACGTAACCATGGTAGCTACGTATGAGTAACAAAAGTTTTTATGTCGCTTTTAGTTTTTTTTATGTCGTTTGTTTGTCGTTTTATTTATAATATAAATGGAAAATTGATTCGATAATCAAACTGTAACGTGTTTTCTACACAACATTATTTATTAATTTTGTTTGTTAAACAATTCATCATCAAAATGGCATATATATATATATATATATATATATATATATATATATATAAACCCATCATTATCAATATATAGAAGTTGGTTTGCAGTAGATATATTTGCTAAGACAATCATACCTACCAAAGTCCACAATATCCCCCACTACCATTTTGCATCTCTTAGGGTTTAAATTATAAAATGTCCATCATAGTTTATAAAAACATTTGTATTTGGTTCTTTTCTTTAACGATTAAAAAAGAATTTCGTTAAATAAGGGGTATTTTTGTTATTTTAAGTAAAAAAAATTCTTTTATTTTGGTCCATGTGGTTTTTGATTGGATAAAAGATAAAAAAAATCGATAAAAGAACGAAATGCCTCTCATTTAACGGAAAATTTTAACGGCGGTTAGAAGATGGAACAAAACACAAGTGTTTTTACAACCACGATGTGACCATCTTATAATTTTGAAACTATAGGGACGAAAAGTGTTATTTTCGACAAACCACGAGAACCAAATTTATGATTTTTTTTTTTCGTAGAGAAACATGTGACTTAAAATTCACACAAAAGGTTCAAAAGAGGTTTGTTTTTGTAAATGTAAAATTATAAGATGTTAGGAGAGAGTTAAACCCATATTACACTTAAATATCGGGTTAATCATTTGAGAGCTCACAAAATTATTAGAATCCTGATCGATAAACAGCGTGCCAAATATATGTTATTTTACATGGTTCCTTTTCCATCTATGATTTGGTTTTAAAATATTGATTAACATACATTTGTTTCACAATTAATACGAACATTTTTTACGTGTTTGTGAAACAATACAAATACAAAGTTTTACATTGTAAACTAAATACATATGAAACAAATAAATTGTAAAAGAAATATACATTAATTCATATTTTAATCTTTAAGCTTAGAAGGAAAAAATAATATGATACAATACTTTAACATAAGAATTCTCACTCAGTTATCATTATATATAAAGTTTTTATTTAATTATGTTCCTGATTATATAAATAATACTTTAACATATACATATTTTTTTTATGTTCTACAACATATACTTTATATGTTCGCTGTATCAATTTAATACAATAATATATATATTTCTTATATACGAAAAATAAACATTTTTTTCAAATAAAACCAAACATAACTTAATATTGACAAGTTGGTTATTTAAAAAAAAAAATTAGAAGGGTATTTGTTCAATACAGCGAGATAAATCTCGATTTTAATGTTTAGTTTTTATTCTTTGGCTCTATTGATATAATACGATTTTATGTGGTTTTGAGAAAATGATAATTTTTTTTTATTTTTGAATGAAATATAAATTTGAAAAAAAAATCAATATTAATATCAAATTAACTATTTAATTTATATTTAATAATAATATTATTTTTTATAAAGATAATATTAAATATTCTGTTARAACTCAATGATTATCTTAATTATATTTTAAATTTTCTATATTTAAAATGAGATGTTTATTCTCTATTTGATTATGTTTATCTGTTAGTTACAGAAATTCAAACATGAAGCTTTAGTAAGTTATATTTATGCTCAATTTACTTGTACTCTTGAATTTTAAGTAATATGCATCAATAGACAGTACTTCATGTATAAAAAATGATTTTTAAGAGTTTTTATCAAATGTTTTATAATATAGTATAGATAACATTGACAACTTGATCATTACAAAACTAAAAGGTTTCATCGACAGAAAAATCCGTCGAAAAAAGTCATGACGGTGGATTCCATTATCGGGTCGATGAACATGATCACTAGCGGATTTTCAACCATCAACGGATAATCCGCTGGTGATGGTCAATCGGCCAATGATCGCTACAAATCCGCAAAGATTACCAACTGAAAAATCAATCGGTCGATGGAGTCTCTTAATTTTGTAACAATAAAGAAAATATTACAAACAATAAAAATAATAAACAACCAAGAAAGAAGAAAAAGCTAATAAAAGAGGGAAATTACATGTTGTACAAATTTTGAAATATTATTATTCCTTTTTTTTTTTTAGGAATTTGTTTAATTTACCTCCTTTTGTTCTTGCTTCCCACCAATAAAGCCAAATAAAACAAGATTCTGAAGAAGAAACCCAATGCGATGGTGATCCAAAAGCAACCCCATTTGTTAATATCCGTAACACCTTGTTGCTTCAAGATATCTGCTCCATTTGTCAAGCAAGTCGAGCTCGTAAGCTTCACACCAAGTGTCTGACTCATGCTCTTCAAAAGCTTCACTTTCATGGCGTCTGGAATTGCACCTAATGGCGAGTTATCAAAGATCTGAGTCCCCCTCACGAAGCATTTTGTAGGATCATCAAACTCGTTTTGCAGAACGCCCTGATATGGGTACTTAACTAGCGACATATAATGGAACCATAGCCAATATGAAGGAATTCGATCACGAGTAATGAAGAAGCCGCTGAAAAGAAGGAAATAAGCTAGAACGGCGACGACGACTGTGTATCCGAGCATCACGTGAGCCACCACGCCGGAGAGGAAGGTGACGAAGGAGCTTCCGACCCAAAAAGAGGCGAAGATGAAGAAGAGGAACGTGAAAAACCCGGTGGTTCCGCCGGCTAAGCCGACGGCCCAGAAGGTTATGCAGGCGAAAACGAATGAGAGAAAGATTAAAGAAGGAATTGACATGAGTGAATGAGAGATAACGTAGGATGAACGTCTATAAGCGTTGTATGCAGTTTCTCTCATGAATATATATCGTTCTTGGAGGAATACCGGAATTGCTTCTGCGCAGGTGTAGAACATGGTGGACATGGCGAAAGCGAAGAACCCTATTCGTTCTTGGATTCCTCGTGGCGAATTGTCGAGTTTTCGAAACATGGTTGCGAGAATGGTTCCGGTGACGATGATGGCTCCTAGTCGGATGGCGTATAGTTCGGGAGATCGCCATGAATTGAGCATCGAACGTTTCGTGATCACGAGAACCTCGACCCAGAAAGGGTTTGCAAATGTTGGAACTGAAGAAGATAGATTTGATGAATCCATGTTTGTAGCACCTGAAACTAGTTTGCCTCTAGAAATGCTTGCACTAATGGCGTCTTCCAGTGATAATTTTGGTTCTTGAACCAATCTTGATTCGTGGGTCTTGTTTCTTGACCATGATTTGTAGAAATCGATTAGGGTTTTGGTTCCTGCACCCGATATTTCGAGCTCACGGATGAAGTCGAGGGCGAATTCGGTTCGATCTTCATTTTCTGGGATCGGGCTTCCAAATTCGGAGAAGAAATCTGGTAGTTTTGATGGGGTATCACTAAACACCATTTGTCCTCTTGAAAGAAAGATCAATTTATCAAGCAAACTCATGATTCTATAACTAGGTTGGTGAATGGACATGATAACAATACTTCCAGTTTGAGCTATTCTTTGCAAGACTTTTACCACCATGAAAGCACTAGTGGAATCGAGCCCAGATGTGGGTTCATCAAGAAACAGTACGATGGGGTCATGGATGATGTCGATTCCGATGGAAACACGACGGCGTTCCCCACCGGAAATCCCTCTATGACCTTCATCTCCAATGACCGTTTTGGCAGCATTTCGGAGACCTAATTGATCAATCAGTGCTTGAACTCTTGCTCTCTTTTTCGACTTCGAAAGGGTCCGAGGCAGCCTGAACTCCGCCGAGAACATTAGGGTTTCTTCCACGGTTAGCATCGGAAACAGTAAATCATCTTGCATGACGTACGCCGATATCACTTTCAGCAACTTCGACTCCAGAATCTCGCCGTTCATCGTCACCGTACCTTTCAAACTCCCTTTCGCGATCCGGTTCGCGAGTGCATCGATCAACGTCGACTTACCGGACCCACTAGCACCAAGCACTGCCATGATCTCGCCTTCTCTAGCCTCACCGGAGATATCATCCAACAAAACCTTGGTGTTGGATACCTCCACCTTAGTACCACCAAGAGAATTAGAAAACGACATCTTTCGAGGAATTTTAACACTATACGTGAGGCTATTGAAAGAAAGAACAAAAGGGCAAGAGTGAATCGATTCAGATCGGCCATGGCGGCCGCCGTTGGGTGGAGAGTTGGCGTCCCCCATCAGTTGCAGAAGCTCTCCAAGCGTTGATGAGACATGGTGTTTTGGTTGGCGTGATAGTTGTTGGAGCTCCATGCTTTTAGGACCAGAGCGTGGGCCTAAAAAAGGCAGGTCACTTCCTGTGGACATGGTGTCGAAAGACATGGAGATCAATGGAGTTCTGAAAATTGGGATTCTACAGAATTTTAGTGCAAACAGAAACTAATCTTGTGATTAGGGTTTGGATGGTGATATAAGAAAGGAAAGTGTGGTTGGTTTCTTGAGGTGGTGAACATAAATTGGTGAAGAAAGTAAGCGAAAAAGAGGGTTGGTGATAGTTGGCGAGAAGATGTACTAACCGGGACTTCTACCTTTCAATGTCACTTGCAGTGTTCTGATCATACTCCCTTTTATCCTTCCGATTTTTCACGGTGTTCATATCCATGTAATCTCCATAAACATTCACCGTATTCATATAAATGTTCACTGTTTTCATGCGATGTTTTTACAAAAGTACCCTCTGAACCGTTGTTCATAGGCATCTCAATTAATATATTAATTAAATAATTATTTTTATAATCTCATTTAATAAGGACCGTTTGATGAGAAAATGAACGATCAAGATCGGGTTAACATAGTTTGCACAATAGTTTTGGTTAGTATCTGAACCAGCCCCTATATATATATATAAAAGGGCAATACAGTATTGTTTTCATATATATATATGAATGTCAAGGATGTTTTTGCATGCGAAAAAGCACAAAAATAAGTATATATGACACACCATTCATACTTATAGACAAGAACATGTGAAATAATATGAATCATAGCTTAAATCAGACTTATTGGATACTTTAATTGATTTTCATGGGTTTGATTTTAAAATGTCTTGTTTTATCTATATATTGAACCTTACATGAACCTGGTTTTTACACATTTTAACCTTAATAGATTGTTTTTCCTTAATTTACATAAAACAAAAATATTATGAAAAATTGGGGAAATTAAATAATTAGCCATTTTGATCGGTGGGTTTTACCTTTTAGACATTTTTCTCTTAAAATTAAGAAAATAGACATAGGTTCGTAATTGGTAGATTTGTAATTTACGAAGGTATCAAAGTGTAAAAAATGAAGTTTCTAAATTTAAGGGACGAAATATGTAAATTAGTTAATAGGTCTGGATGCATTTTTCCAAACTTATATTTAAAATTTGATATAATTAAATATATTTTTGTTTTAAAAATTTTGAAATTTTATTTTTTATTTTAAAAAAAATAAAAAATCTATCAGAGATGCTATCTATACTATATTATAAAGCATTTGACAAAAACTTTTAAAAACTACTTTTTATGCATAAAATACTGTTTATTAATGCATATTACTTAAAACTCAAGATTGCAAGTAGATTGTGCGTAAGTACAACTTATTAAAGCTTCATGTCTGAATTCGTGAAACTAACTTCAGATAAACATAATCAAATATAGAATAAACATCTCATTTTAAATATAAAAAATCTAAAATATAATCATTGAGTTCTAACATAATACTTAATTATTATTTTTATAAAATTTATATTATTAAACCAAAAATAAATTA